CTGAAGGGGCTGGGCCCTCACTAATCCCCTATTAAAACTTGAAAAGAGCCAGAGAACCTCCAGAATAAACTCATTAACTTTTATGGGCTAATAAATGGAACCCATTAAATTCTCATTCTCCCTATGCTGGGCCAGCTTAACCTCCAGAACCCAGAGAAATGGGCTCCCTGCCCACTGTATCCCCCAGCCTTCCCCCGTACCTACCTGCAGTCATGCCCCTCCCCCAGCTGAGAGCTGGTGCTGTTGCCAGAAGGAGGAGATCAAGCCTGACACCTCAGAGCTCTGAGTTCTCCTCCTGTGTCTATGTCAGAGGGTCTAGCAGCTTAGGCCCTGGAGAAAGAATGTCTGGCACCTCTGCAGGGCTGCCAGAGTGACAGAAGGTTCCCCTTGCCCTTGCAGAGAATGGCATTGGGCTGGCAAATGAGAGCATACACCTGTCTAGATGGCTCTCACCACACCCAAGATGTCTCCACTCTACAGATGAAGAAACGGAGGCTAGAGTGGGCAGCCCCTGCCCAGGTCACACAGCTGGTGAAGCATAGATTTGGGATTAGAACATGAGATATTTCTGGCCTATGGTAGAGAAAGAGCTGCAGAAAAATAGCACCAAGGGGTCAGCCAACCTGTCCTTGAATGGCATCTGGAGTTGTAAACCGTTGCCTCGTGCAGTGGTTCCCCCAGACAGGGACACTGCATAATGACTCTGACCCTTCATCACCACCTCCACACAAACCAATTCCAGCTCCATAGCTCACCAGCACTGTGACCCTTGGCAGCCTCCTGGGCCTCACTGAGCCTCAGTTACCCGCTCTATAAGACAAAGACAATAACACCTACATAGCTGGATGCTATGAAGAGGAGTCCCTAGTTGTATGGCTTCCCGTAAAAATCAGCTAGATCTCCCTCCCCCATTCCAATCCCAGCCTGTTGGGGGTGGGATACATGGGCCCTCATCTCTACCTTCACCCAGCTGGGCCCTGAGGAGCGGGTGGCAGGGCAGGAGGCCTTCCCTGGGAGGCCCAGGCTGGGGCTGGTGGGAGGGGGCCTTCAATCTCAAGAGGGGCAACAGGAGGTGGCATGGGCGGGAGGCAGGAGCGGGAGAGAATCCATTGGGGAGGCATCTTGAATGGCTCATTAGTGCCGATGAAAGCCTTTTTTCATTTTGTCTAAATACTTTAAACAGGGCTCCCTCCGATGTCTATTTGCATAGCTTAAGAGCTAATGTCGGGGGGAGGGCCCAGGGCAGCAGCAGAGGCAGGGCCACTCCAGGGCTGGGGGCTTCCAGGAAGCTCCAGGCCTCCTTTGCTGTGGGGAGGTTGGTGGAGAGAGGGGTATGGTGTTTCTCAGACCCAGCCCACTTGGAAGATGCAGCCCCCAGCCCAGGGGCAAAGAGGAAAGGAGGGGCGAGTACATTCCTATGTTCTGGCACTAGGTAAACTGGGCAGGTGGGGATCATGGGGTCTATCTTATTGTGGGCCAAAGCTCTGTCCCCCACAGACATGCAGGACTTGAAGGTGGCTGCACTTTGCAGGGGTGGTGCAATATTGCACTCTACATGGAGGCTATACATAAGGAACACCGTCTCCCAGAGAGGAGAGGCCCCACTCTAGAAGCCTGCCTCAGTATTGCCCTGACCAGGGGCTGCCCAGCCTTGAAGTATGGCTTTTCCCTCAGTGCCCCAGGGAAACTGCTATTTAGAGCATTCAGATTCTCATAAAACCTCTCCAAAGTGCCTATTTTATCGCCAAGGACACAAAAGCTTGCCCAGGTTCACATGACTTTTAAGTGACAGAGCTGACATTTGAACCCAAGTATGTGTGACTCTGTGCCCCAGCCCTGTAGAGCAGTGTTGTTGGGTCTCTGGTTTGGGTTCCATACTCAGATATGCCCCCAGGTGGGGGCAACCTGGGTCCCAACCAGGTTTCCTGAGGGCCCCACTTGATTCAGGCTTAACTCAGGTCTCAGATGCCAGAAACTCTGGCCCCAGCTCCACTTCTAACCTACATGAGACTTAGGACAAGTCCATTCCTCTCTCTGGGCTAGAGTATACTCTGCTGGGTAGCTCTTGTCTCTTGTCCCGTGAGATCAGTTGGTATGGAAAGACTAAGGCTTTGAAGCCAGATTAACGTAGGTTCAAATCTCAGTTCCACCACTGTACCAGTGGGCAAGTCCTCATCTCACCTCTCTTTGCTTCAGGGTCTTGGGCTATAATGTGGGAATAAGATTCCCATCTCATAGAGTTGTAGAGTCGATTAAATAACACAAGATCTGGGGACAGCCTGACTCAGTGTCTGGCATACTATAGGTGCCTGGTAAGACTGGGCATCTGGGCCCCTGACGCGTCCTTCCATTGACCACTGCATCACACTCTCCCCTTTTGTCAGTCTTTGCACCTTTAAACTCAGTTAAGCCAGGCTGAGAAAAACCCAGGAATGCAAGTGGGAAGTTACGAGAAGGGCTTCAGGCTTCCATCAGAGTCAACCAGGCTGTCTGGAGATGCCCTCTCCCCAGAAATGGCTTGTTTCCCTGAGATTATCTTACCCTCTCTGACAGTGGGTGGCACCCTCCGGGACCAAGAGGCAGCTGATTGCCGAATCAATTTGCTCGTTTGATATGCTATCTCAATCCCATTTAACCAAGTGTTCAGTCCCCCCAGATAACACAATCAGTGCAATCGACAGTGACGGGAGGTGCCCATTAGCTCTGCTCCATTGCCCAGCACCCACCTGGCAGCCCACGGGAGGAGCTGGCCCCACTATGGTCCCTTCCTGAGACAGAGGATCTCTTTGCACGCCCTTTCCCAATGAAGAATCCCACAGGTAACTATCCTGGGAGCCACGGGCCACATCTCCTATTAGGCAATCCTGGAAGGGGACACTGGAGCCCCAGGGGCTGATGAGAAAAGCTCCTCTTCCTGTGACATGCTAAGATCAGTCTCAGCTCACCTGGCAAAGACCATGTGACATCTGGGGAGGTGGGTAAAGAGAGTAGCCCTGTCCTGGAATGTCACAGGCACTGCCTCTACCTCCCATCCCTGACTCAGATGAAAGACACAGGGCACTGGCAACCATCTGCTCCAGGGGGTATGGGCCTGGCTAGGCATCTAGTTTAGGCAGTGTTGTCAGTGTCTGGCACGAAATGCCAAGGCACAGATGGGCTACTTTAGTAAGCATCCCCAGATAGGGGTTGGTCCTGGTTTCTCAGGGCATTGGGGCACCAAAGCCCCTCTAACCCAGAGGAATGGAGAGCCTTCTGACCTATACCCACCTTCCTCACCCCAATTTCCTCCCTCCTCCCATTTGTCTGACACATCAGAGCTGCCATAGTCTCTTGAACAGAATGTAGGCCATCTGCCACTTCCTCATGCCTGCCAATCCATGGGGCGGGTGTGAGCCTGTGGAATGACAGCCCCACCACCAGACATGCAGAGGAACCGACCTTCTCCTTGCAAACTCTATCTCACTCTGGCTGTATTTCCCTTCAAGTCCTCAGGCAGCCATTTTGAGAGGTATTAGAATCAGAATACCCTCCCAGCTTTCTCAGAGCTGGCAAAATTCTATATGAGCTGAACCTGGAGCCAGCATCCATTGACCTTTTCCTGGTAGTCAAGGATCTGGGGAGCCTAGTGGGCCACAAGCAGAATATGTATTATCTCTCCAGCTAAGTGGTTGAACAAGTCAATATAATCAATAACAGAGCAACCACAGACCAACAACAGCAAATAAGTTGCATCTTCCATAGCCTATCTAATCCACTGGTAGTGGCTGCCTGGATAACTGTTCTGAGAAGGATTCTGAAGTCCCATGTGACTTCAGCAAGAAATAACCAAAATTGGTTAACAATGTCTGCCATGGATTAGGGGTGGGTAGGTAGCATGGCAGATGACCCTTCTATCCCTACTTTGGACCCTGGCTAGTGTCACAAGAAAAATAAAGGGAATTCAGAGAGATATAGCAAATGGGGAAGGGAAGTAATATTACCTCAGTTAATTCTAAAAAGGAACTCCATTTTACAGTTGAGAAAACTAAGGTTCAGAGAGTTTAGGTTATTTGCCTGAGGTCACGGAGCCCCAAAGTGATGGATTTGGAATTTGAAGCCACATCTACCTTACTCCAGAGGTTGGCTCTTCCTACTCTGTTCACATTTATGTCCTAGAAGGACCGGGAAAAAAGAAAGAAAGGAAAGAGACTAAAGAAATGACTGAGAAATGAGAGAGATGGGACAATGAAACCTAATGGAACCCTAAGAAAGATGTCATAAACCCAATAGGGAAATCCAAAATAAAATCCCAAATATATGAAGCATTTCCTAAGACTAATGATCAGCAGTTTCACTAAGAACAGAAAATGAACTTTAACGAACTATAATCTCAGGTAGAACAGTCACTGTGGTGGAGGTGCTCTTGCTAAGGGTGTCATCTCAGGTCAAATAACTGGCCATGTGACTTTGAGCAAGTCACTTCCTTTCTTTGACCTGTTTCCTCATCAGTAAGATAAGGCCTTTGAGCTACATTAGGGATGGCAAATATTTGTCATGTCGGTCTGAGGAATTAAGCATGGCTGCCTGGAGTGCTGTGTTGAGAAGGATTCTGAGGCCAAATCTGAGAACAACAGGAAATAGTGCAATGATAGATAGCAATGTTCACCTCTGGAATTGGAGGGGAAAGGATATCTCATGTACCATCCTTGAATATGTGATATCATCTCACTTTCAGCTCTAAAATTCTATAGCTCCATGATTCTCAATGGTGAGTATACTCCCCAGGGCTCTCTGTCAAAAGAGAGATGGCTCTCCTACTGCCTGGACTGGGTGTGCTGCTGCTCTCTGTGGGGAAGGGGGATAACCTCTGATCATTATTATTTCAGGACTCTCCTCAGAGGCCCCAACCATGGGGGAAGGTCAGGCCCCAGGCCTTGAGGAGATGGATGGAGAGCTGACAGCAGCCCCCACACCTGAGCAGCCAGAACGAGGTGTCCACTTCATCACAACCGCCCCCACCTTGAAGCTGCTCAACCATCACCCACTGCTTGAGGAGTTCCTACAAGAAGGGCTGAAGACAGGAGAGGAGGAGCTGAGGCTGGCACTGCCTTTCCAGCCTGACCCACCTATGCCATACACCCCAAGTCCCCTTCCCCGCCTGACCAACCAGGACAGCCGCCCCGTCTTCACTAGCCCCACTCCGGCCATGGTTGCAGCGCCCACTCAGCCCCAGTCCAGGGAAGGACCCTGGAGCCTGGAATCAGAGCCCCCTGTGCTTCATACCACAGCTCCCCTACCTTCAGGGCCCAGCATGGTAGTACCTACCGCAGGCCCAGGGGAAAGGCCCAGTACTACACCCCCTAGCAGAGCATGGACTCCAACCCAAGAGGGTCCTGGAGACATGGGCAGGCCGTGGGCTCCAGAGATCCTATCCCGGACCGCAGGGCTTGGGATCGAGAGAACCACTGCGACCTCCACAGCCTCAGGGGATGATGAGGAGACCACCACCACCATCATCACCACCGCTATCACCACAATCCAGCCACCAGGTCAGCTACTTGATGGCTTGCAGATCTAGAAATGGGGGATGGGGGAGCTGCAGGGCCCCTAAATTCCTCTCTCCATCACTGTGCCAGCCTGTTTCGCCCTTTGGTACTAAGGGCCAGAATGCAGGAGGCATGTGGATTGGAACCAGATAGACCTCGGTTCAAATCCTTATTGGAAGCAACTACTAGACCCTTGGAATTTTATTTAAGCTCTCTGAGCCTCATCTGTAAAACAGCGGTAGGAATACTTACTTCACTGACCCATCATGAGAACTAAGATTACACACAGTAGGTACTCAAGAGAAGATGGTCCCTTTCTTTAAATGGGAGAATAGATGTCCCAAGAGGTGGGCTTCAACACACACACACACACACACACACACACAGAGTCAGCCTAAATTGGACCCCCTATGCTAGGGTTGGGCTTAGCCTGTGTCTCCTCCTGCCTCTCAGGCCCTTGTAGCTGGAATTTCTCAGGCCCAGAGGGCGTTCTGGACTCCCCCACAGCCCCCAGCTCACCCTCTGATGTTGGTCTGGACTGTTTCTACTACATCTCTGTCTATCCTGGCTACGGTGTGGAAATCAAGGTGAGTGACTTAGATCCGGCAGGGGCAAAGCAAGGGCTGGTGTGCTATCTTTCCGGAAAGGTGCCATGGGGAGAGGTGGGGAAACTCAGGAGTATCTTTTGGAGGGGAGCCTTGGGCCAGGGCTAGGTGATGGGCTTAAAGCATGGTCGGATACTAGACCAAGGAGCGAAGAGGCTCCTGCTCTCCTTCAGCAATGTCCTAGGCTAAGAGGGGCTATAGCGTGCCCATCCTCTTCCCCCCGGGGTTTGATCAGGGGCTCAGGAGAACCTGAAGAGGGATGTCCAGCCCCAATGAGCAGAGGAACGGGTGAGTGTCTAAATCCATGTGGCTGAGTAGAAAGAACACAACGGGGCCTGGCTGGGCCCGAAAGCCATTCACTCATTTATCTACTCTTATTCCTTCAGCAAATATTCCCTGAGCAGCAACTCTGGGCCAGGCCCTGTGCTGGCTCCTAGGATGCAGAATTGGGAAAACAGACATAGCCACAGCATCAGAGAGGTGACCGGTGGTGGAGGAGTCAAACTGACAGCCCCAACCTCCTGCCCCTACCTCTCTAGGCCATCTCATCCCTTTTCATCTTTAAATTCTCTCTTAATCCCAAAACCTGAGCAAGCAGGACCTCACAGATATGCCAGGCTTCTCAACCTCCACATGCCCCAAACCTAGCTCTTCCTTTTTGTTCCTTTAGCCTGTTTGCCACCCCACTCCTGTCTTCATAGACTGACCTGAACCATTTGGAAACCAGGAATAGACCATCACAATGCAATATGGATGGTGTCTGTGAAGCTGTGCAATGTGAGGTCAACTTGGCTCTTCCCTTTCTCTCTTCTCCCAGTCCCATCAACTCACACCCACGTTCTAACACCATGACACTCCCCAGAACTCAGATTGGCCTGCTTCTCTCCCTCCATCACAACCATATGCTTCAGGCGCCAGTATCCCTCCCCCCGATGATGCAGTGGCCTTCTCACCAGTCACCCCACTCTCACTTGCCCCCTACTATCCTTCCTTCACCTACACTACAGTTATTTTTCTCAAACAAAATCGGTCCGACCTCGACACCTCCTCTGAATCCAGGCCAGTCCCCCTGGGCCCATTTTGAGCCACTTTCTCCCTCGTTCTCTTTTCTCCCTTTGCACTGAACAGCTTGCAGCCAACCAAATGGGCCAAGCCCACTTTCCCCTCAAGCCCCAATTGCACATGCTGGTCCCTCTGCCTGAGAGAGCCATCCTACTATCCCCTCCCTGAGGACTTAACCCAGCCCTCACTTTCTCTGGGAATTATCTCCTGGTCCCCAAAGCCTGGGGCTTCCGTCATCCTGGGTCTTATCAGTCTGCCTTCTATCAGTCTGTTTATAGTTGTTCATTTCCTCAGCTAGCCTTGAGTGTCTTGAGTGGTACCCTGGAGTAAGGGGCCCAGAATGGGTGCTCCACGGACTAACTGAACAAATGGACATGTGAATGGAGAAAAGAAGGAATTAGGCAACAGTTGAGAAATCAGGCTGACAACTGAGTACAGGGAATGGGGTAGAGGGAGGAGTCCAGGGAACAGGGCAGCACTACCTGACCTCCACTCTTAGCCTGCTCCCTACCCATCCCAAAGCTCCTGGATCCCAGCCTAGAGCCAGCTATACCTGTCTGGGGCAGCATCCCAGCCCTCCTCTCTGGGAAGGTCAGGTCCAGGCCTTTGAGCCTGGCCCTGCGGTGGGGGGACTGTTTCCTACTACTGGTGGGCCTCTCCCCTTCTTTCTGTAACTGTTTACTCCTGGTCTGCCAAGCCCTTGGCCCTCACTTTGGGCTGACTGGGAGGGTAATTAGGAACAGCCACCATCACCCCCCAAGCCATTAGTGCTCAGTGCCACTTAATTAAGGTAATTAATGTAAAATCATCACCTAATGAGAGGTGGCACCGGCTGTGGCTCACCGAGTAGAAGGCACCAGCTGCAGGTGTGGGAAAGAAGGTGGGAGGGGGCAGATGCCAGGCTGGGTGTCCCCTGCACGCCTGGGCTGGCTACACCTGCCCCGCAAGCCTACCACCCCAATCTGAGGCCCACTGGGCCAGGCTGGGCTCAGTCCTAGTACTCTCCACCACAAAGAGGCGAGATGTTGGTTCTGCCTGACCCGGCCCTGACCCGGCCCTGACCCAGGCATAAGCCCCACTCTAGATGCCCACCCCCATCATGTAAGCCCTGTGTCTGTTGTCTGCTGCTGCCACATTTTTTTCATCAGAATGCAAAAGCCGTTACCAGGCAACCTTGAGAGGAAGACCTGCCACAGCCCTGGATTGCTGTCAGGAAATGTGGCAGAGAAATGCTGGCCCTACCCTCTAGCAGGCCACTATGGGGCAGAGTCCATGGGGACCCTGTGGGCCTTTATGGCCTGAGACAAAGTCTGAGGCCAAGGCAAGGAGGGCCAGGAGGGGAAGGAACAGAATTAGCCAGGTCAGAGCAGGATTTAAGGTTCTTCTTTGAGGGCCAGTTTGGGCAACCTCTACTCCTATCTAGGCCTCTTGGATGCACTATACAGGCCACTTAGAGACCGGAAGAATTACTGACACTGTAGACCCAATGGCTAGTTGGAAAAACCAAGGTCAGCAAAGAAAGGGAATTGCCCAAGGCCACTTAGTTAATCATTAATTAATGTTTTCTGATGAATTTTTCCCATAAATATAATTTGAGCAATTATTAGGTGCTAGGCTCTGTGCTAGGCACCAGGGACACAGCTCTTCACAGTTAGTGGGAGAGTTGGAAATCATAAACAGAATGCTTAGTGCTGTTGGGGATGGGGGTGGGAAGCACAGGGAACTGTGGAAATTCCAGAATGGGGCATACTCCGCCAGGCTGGGGAGTCAGAGAAGGCTTCCTCGAGGTGACAATGCCTGCTTTGAGGCCTGAAGGAGATAAGCCTGGGTTAGAAAGCAGAAGGTATGGCAGACTGGCCCTTGAAGGCTGCTGGGCAGTTTGGACAAGTGACTTTATTGCATAGGAGCAGGAGGTGGACTTAAAGGTTTCTGGATTACATTCCTACCAGAGGCTGGGCCTGGGAAATGCCCTCCTACCCAGGGCTGGCAACTAGGCTAGGCCATGCTGGGCATTGGAGGTTGGATGAGTAAGGCAGCCGGAAGGCCTAGAAGGCGGTCCACTGCTCCTTCGGGCTTGGGGAAAGGCTTGTGGCTTTTCCCCATCATGAGTAAGCCTCTGCCTGCCCTTCCATGAACTCATGAGGATGGCTCAGTGTCGGCAGAAGGGATGGAATCCAGGAAAAGAGGATGGGAGGAACCATGGGAGGAGAGGAGCATTCTAAGGACCCATAAATCACACCCCTGCTCAGGTCAGCCTGACGTCGTGCTGAAGTCCTGCCATGTGACCATAGCTCTGGCTAAAATCTGGGGCCCTGAGCAAGACCCTCTCAATCCCCTTTTAGAGAGAAACAGCCTCAGGGGTTCCAGAATTGCTAACAGCCCAAGTCTGGATCACAGCCCCTCACCTCCTGACCACCACCTCCCTTCAGGGCGCTGCAGCTATTTGTGCCTGCTGAGGCCGAGGTGTCTGAGCTGCCCGCAGGGAAGATGCCAGGTCAGGCCTTCCATGATCAGAGGAGGCTTGCCTGTTTCAGCTGGGGGTTGGGCACTCGGCTAGACTTTCTTGAGAGATCCAGAGAATCCTTCAGGATGAGTACACACAAGCCCCATGGCCCATGCAGGTCCCATCCCTTCTTTAGGCAGACAGTCTTCTTTGAGCGCTCCAGGCCTTTCTGGGCCTGGCACATGCCTCCCACTGTGCTTGGCATTCTAAGAGCCTTCCCATTGCCAGCTTCCATCTTGGCTTGGCTGCTCCCTGTACCATCTGGAGCCTGGGCATAGCTGCCCACCATCCCTGCCCTAGTGCCCCAGGTGGCCCCATTGGAACACACCCCTCCCATGCCAGGCCAGCTGCCAGTTTGATAGCCAAAACACCCTACCCTTCTAGCCAGGCCCAATATGGATGCCAGGAGCAGTGTGGTGAGTCATTGGGTAAGATTTCTGGCAAAGAAATCTTCTGAAAGGCCCATCTAACAGGGGTGTAGGCAGCTTTAACCCCATGGATTTAGGCCCCTCTCCCATCACTAAAGCAGACCTTACCCCATAAGGGTTTGTGGAAGAGCATCAGTCAGACAGGAGCACAGAGTCTGTCATGTAGGACTGGGGTTCCAGTCCTGGCTCTGCAGCCCATCTCTCAGTGACTGGCTAAGCCTCTGGTCTTCTCTTGGCCTCATTTTCCCTCTCTATAAAAGGAGATTGGACCAGATGATACAGAAGGCCCCTCCCAGCCAATCCCTCTGAGTGTGGCTCCTCTTCTTAGTCCAGAAAGCTCCCTCATGGGCCAGACTGAGCAGTGGCACCTCAGGCCCTTGATCCTACTTCCTGCTTCCTAGCAGCTTTAGGACCTGGGCCAGGGAGAGGAAGGCTCCCAGGTACAGTGCCTCCCAGGCAGAGCCCTAGCAGACCTAAGGGTGAGGTGTGTCTACAGCCACCTGTCACCATGGCAAATGCCAGGGTTTTAACAGGGCGGGCCCCAGGTCTCCTCAAGAAAGGG